TTGATGCATTATATAGATTTGATTATATTATACTCTCCCACCTGTCATTCTTAATAAACTTTACTATAATTATCCTGGTCAAGTAACTTATTATAACGTTATTAAGCACTCACCAGCTCTCCCAAGGACTCATATAAAATGGTAACACTATATTAACTTGTCAAAACTTTATATATCAAAATTGCAAACAATCAAAATAATAAATCTATCAAAGAATAACTCTATAACAGGTTACTTACATGCACAAAATTGCAAAAAAATCAAGTATTCCACTATTTGAAAAACTTATCAACTGATACTGCTATATTTGTACAAAAAAGATGTGAATATCCATAACAAATAATAGCACATAAGCAAAAATCAAGAATAAACTTATCTGTACCATTATCATCTAAAACAATAACTCATCCACTAACATTATATCAATCAACAGTTCAACAATTTTCCACACCAGAAATAAGAAACTATTTTTTCAATTGACTAATAAGAGCCAAACAAAACATTATTGTAAATCAAGAAAAATAACTTTTAACACTATCAAAATCTATTTTTTCATCCACTTTAGCACATTCATCATTTAATTCAAATTTTGACAATAACAACGAAAATGAGTAATACTTGTTCAAAACAATTCATCATTAGAAGATGAATTAGAAAATTCAGCAAATACAATGAATCAGCAACAACTTCAACAGTAACAATAACTTCAACAATAACAATAACAATAACAATAACAATAATAACAACAACAATAAAAAACTCTTTTCACATCTCTCCCCTGTAGATTCCTAATCCACAGGTGGAGCAAAACTTCAAGTCGCAAAAAGTCTTCAAGTTCATAATTAAGAGTTTTTATGCATATTCTTTATCACTCCAACACTTTTTTTCTCAGCTCTAGCTTCAATTTAATATTAATTTTCTTTACAATCCTCCTTTTTTTTCAATTTCTTTACACTTCTATCATTTTTCACAAATTACTATCTTTTTTATAAAACTTACAAAAAAAATCACAAAAATATATAAATATAAACAAAAAATTAATACATATATCTACTTTTCTGTTCGTTTTCACTTCAATTATGTCTTCTTCTCAAAAAAAAAACACTTCATTACTCTCCAGCATTACTAATAAATTCTTCACCTCTTCACCCTCTTTAAACTCAAAAAAACATTCATCAACTGATAATGGAACCAGAATTGATTCCAAAATAAAACCAGCCAATAAAAAATCAAAAAAATCACACAATACTCCATACGATTACGCAAAACATCCCACTACACGCAGCATGTTAAAAAAAGCAACATTACCCATTAATACACAATCAGATATGGAAACTGACTATGATAATGATGCCATTTCTATACATAGTCAAACCTCAGCACACAGCCAAATCTCAACACTCAGCCAAATCTCATTTCAAAAACAAGATAATCTAAATCTCAAAATTACCAATTCAGATTCACTTAATACACAAAAAAATTTAGAAATGTTACATGATTTTAACTCAGAAATTACACACAACCCAACTTTTACTAACTCAACCCTTAAAAATTATAACACCCCAATAAATAATATACTATCCCAAAAAGAAAAACAACAAGAAAATCACAATAAATGACAAATAATTAATAGCAAAACTACATACAAAGAATGGATATCTGAGTTAGCTATACTAGGAATTTCTACCAAAGACAAACTCAATGAATTAAACAAATATCTCTTCAACATTCATGGCTATATCAACACCAAAACAACTATTATCAATAATATCAAATATGTATATGCTAAATTCAATTCAGAAAAAAGTCTATCCACAACCACCAATATTGATATTCAAGAAAATAAATTAAATATCACCAAACCTGGATTAAATTCATCAATCAATACCAACTGTATAGTTGCTCTTTGAGATGTCTCTCTCGGTATCACAAGAGAATAAATCACTGCCACATTTGCTCAATTTGGTCAAATTGAAGAAATACACATACTAACCAAAGACAGATAGGAATATATAATCATTCGCTACTCTAATAAACAGGAAACTCTTAAAGTAATCAACAAATGGTCTGTTCTTCTTGACAATGACAGAGTTCGTATCCTTCCACTAACTCAACAAATTGAAACAATCAAAATATGAGATCTATACAAAATTAAACTCATAAATCTTTCATATGACACCACAGCATATGAATTGAATGATTTTGTCAGCTATATGAATTCATATTTGCTAATTCCATTGGTTTTAGTATTCGTTTATTCGTTCACTTGTTCGTTTACTTGTTCGCTCACTTGTTTGCTTACTTCACATGATTTAACTTTTATTCAATAAGATATGAAATATGTATAATCTAATAATATGAAATATTATAATGAAAGATCATTATACAACAATATCATTAGAAAGATTTAGTTAAGGTGCATCTAATGATAACCAAATCATTGAATTTGGTTAATTAGATACAGAGATATTGTGTTTCAAAAACAACATACAAAATTGTGAAAACATTTTGTACAATTTTTTATGTTGTATTTGAGACATGATATCTCTGTATCTAGTTAATCAGATTCAATAATTTTGATATCATTAGATGTATCTTAACTAGATCTTTCTAATGGTACCAAAATTATTTAATTTGGTCTACTGGATATTATCGTATTTAGAGATTTAGACCTATTTGATTTAATAACTTTATGAATATACAATTCAATTTTTGTGCTAGAGCAATGGAAGAGAAAACATCGCAGCATGATCATCAATTCTGCGTGACCTTACTATGTACAAACCACTACATATTCCACACCACCCTATTGATTAAAAAATCACTAGCCCGATGTGGGCAAACTAATTGTACAAAAGTAAGCTATATATTTCTAGTATTGCGCAAATGGTAGAAAAACTTTAATATTTTCTGATGCATATACATATTTAGAAAGGCTAAAGATATCACATTAATATATATTCACATAAGTTAACCATATAAGCGAAAAAAATAGCTTATTATTCCATAATACGTTAATCCTTATATATGTCTTTTAAAATACGTATCCGCCTTAAATGTTGTTCACAAACTGCATATTGTTTAAGGACGACAGAGGTGCACCTTTTTTTATGTAATCTTAACGCTTTTACTGCTAAGTCATTCCGAATAGTTTCAATATGATTGAGTGTTAACTATAGAAGGGAAAAAATTAATTAACAAAAGGAATCTTCACAGACATATGAATCCGATATGCCTAACAATCATAAAGTAGCAATGAGATAGACAAACCTCAATTCGTAGCAATGTCATAACTAATTTCTCAATCATGAGCAATTGTGCATTTGATTGTGGTAACTTTGTTTTTTTAAGTAAGCCTAGCCTCCACAAACCTCTTGATTTCCAATCCATGGCATAGACGTTATAAAAAAAGCCTAACAAGTAATATAAATTTGAATAGATGAGCAAACAATTGATGATGTGCTTTTCCTGGAAATCTTACCATACGAGTGGACCCCAATTGTATATAATTGCTTGAAATCTGTACACTCTACTCCATTATTTTCGATTGCTTCCTGCAATAATACATCACGCATTGCAACCATCAAATCAATCTTATCGTCCCACTTCTTTGATTCACAGGCTTCTGGCAATCCCCCAGATCGCAACCCAATAACCATTTCAAATCTGTCACATGTAACCCTAAAATCATATTTTTGTCCTATCAGAGACCTGTCTGTTGGTTTCTTCGTTGAATTTGTAATGAATGCAGATGAAATACTTTGTATCTCTCCTCTAAAAACAATGTCAAAATATTTTATTATTAACAAATAGAATATAATTTGGTAAAACCGGGAATTTCAATATCCTTACTCATCATATTTAAACTTCTGATGGTACGTCAGGATGCCTTTAGTTAACATGTTCGTAAAATTATTGGAGAACATAGCCTCTGAGATCGAGGTTTGTAATCTTTCCAGATTATAAGCGCTTCCATATGGTAAAAAATCAAATGTTAATTAAATGTCATCTAACATAAAATGGAGATTATGAACTTACTAGGTTTGGATTAGTCTTCGAATAGAGTTGATCTTTGAATTTCCCTTCAATCAAGACGCAAATAGTAATAATGGTCAAAAAATTAAAAGTTCAGAAATTTAAAGTCATGATAGTAATAAAATTGATGTCATACCTCAATTTTACATTTTTCTATCGCCGTGATTAGATCATCTGGCTTCTTTCTAATAGCCTTAATGAATTCAAAAGTCAGCCAATCATCAAACGAGCAAAATGAAGATGTGAGCACTTGTTACCTCTTGGATTTTATCAAATAAGTCGTACAGCATTTCTTCTTGAGATTGTCGTTTTGCTTCATTATTAGTGGTAGTATTATTTCCTCCACCGCTGTTATTAGTCTCTTCCGGCTTATTATCGTCTTCTTTTATATCTTTAAGTTCCACTGTTTTTCTAAAATCATTTTTCATTTCTGACCATTCATCGTCGGTAAAAAGTTTCTTGACTTCTGTATCTTCCCCGGATAAATCAAGTATTCCAAAAAATGCAGGACTGGCAAATAAACATTGAGATGTGTGATGTTAGAGAAAATCTTGCAACTGGATTACTAAAATAAATGCTCACTATAGGTAAGCCTTTGATTTTGGAATTGTTGATCTAAAGTTCTCCAAAACTTGAGAGACGTTTTTCCCTGTTGAGAGAATCCACGCATTAAATGGAGAACTTTCCACTTGTACAACTTCTGGTTGGGAAATTTCTTCAGTTTCACTCTTTTTTGATTAACAAATAAAGTCAGCCTTCCAAAGCATATTTGATTCTAATGACAGGTAAAATCCAATTAACCAATAAAGATGTGCAAGGGGAAGGTATTTTTTACCTCTTCATTTGAGAAATTCATAGTTTTAACATCAGAGATTTCGTCATCATAGTCATATACTTTGTGACCTTTGAACTTATAAGTTGTAAGAGATAACTTAGAATAAGTGATGTCGATAGCATATTACACCATAAAAAGAAATACAGATTAAGTACAAACCAATTCAGACGGTACGTTATCTACGTTATATTCTTCATAGCGAACTCGTTTTTCACTAGACGATGAGGCTTCTTCGTTGTCTTCCCCTATTCGTTTTTTGCTCGAAGCGTTTCGTAAGAATTCTGAAAACTTACGTTCTGTGAATATTGTTGAATCGAGTAGCCGAATTCTCTCGGAAATCTGCTTGTCCAGGCTCAGTTGATAGAATTCGTTATAGAGTTCCTCACAACTTTTCCTTATAGTAAATCCTTCAAAAGTTTTACAAATTTCAAGGAGGTCTTTGCAAAATATAGTTATACAGCCGGGAGCCTTTCTAATACTGTTTTTTGCGATAAGATTCAGAGAATTTTGCCAATCGTTGTAAACAGTAGACCATGGTAAAATTATTTCATCGGATTTGAGACGAAACTCCAAATAGTGTTTTAATTTCCAGAACTGTGCCTCTGCTTTCTTAAAGTAAATGTGAGTATTATTCTCTTCAGGTACCGTATAGCCCAGGTATGCCTTCGTTCTAAGAACTGCAGTCATGATTAAAAAGTATACAGAGCCGGGACTGGTGATTAGCCGTAATAAAGTAGTACTATAATTTCGTGCAGTATACTAAGCAGTATACGCGTCGAATTCTCTGGTGATTTCATCATCTCATATGAGTACTTTTGGAGTTACACAATCCCGTTGCCACCCAATCAAATTGTGTTATTGTTATATTATTTATATTTCTCTTGAATATTAAATGAAGAAATAAAGAGGATGCGATTATGCCGAAGTTTTTGCGTCTGTTCCAGGCAATTGGTGGTGAGCACTTCTCCTGGTATTTTTGATGGTCATCAGCCCCTTATCAGCAAAATTATGAAATATATGATACTGCATATATTGTTACCATTAATAACCTTTACGGATGAAAGTCTTTACTAGAACAGTAGGCAGTGACTGCGTTGTGTGAAAAAGCATGAAGAAATAAGCAAAGTGTGAAATAATCTTTTAATACTATTATTTGTTAGCTAAAACACTAAAAGATTCACAAAGAATCTAACAAGTTTACAAAGAACTTTTTAAAAATAAAGTGTATTTTATAAGAATAAAAGAAGTTCACCAAGAACCAAATGATTCACCAAGAATTCAAAGTATTTGTAAAAAAGTTTTTAAGAAAAATAGAACACAAAGTTTTTTAATATTTTAATGAATATTTCATCAAGAAGTAATTTAGATTCACCAAGAATCTTTATTATTGATTAAGAAAAAAAACACAAAGTAATCAATTCTTCTAACAAATATACAATAAGTCAGTTATTATATTTATTTAAAAAATAAAAGCAAAGAAACTTTATTAACATTAAGTTAATCAAAAGTTATCTATCTTAGACTTCTTGCTTTCTTTTAGCTAAAATACATGCTATTTTTATAATAATTATTCATTACTTGATCTTCTTAATCTAGAGCTAATCTATTCTATTTAGAATGAAACATAATTTATTCTATAAACTATTTTGTGATGTTTCATACCTTTTTGCTTGAGTGTAATTAATTTACTATGAATTACTATTAAGCTAATTTGGTTCTTGAAGATTGATAACATGTATTTTTCATACTAATAATAATAATATGAAAATAATATAAACTAAAAACAAATAGTATGAATCAAAAATAAATAATATAAAATATAAATAATATAAAATATAATGAAATTAGAATGAAATAGTATAAAATCTAAAAGGATTAGTATGAACTAAAAAGGATTATAATTTGTAAATTATATATTTACTAACTATCCAATAGAAATATATTATAAATAACATGATATATCCTATATCAGATACTAATTATCATATAATGACAATATATAATCTTATGTGAAATTTTTTAAAACTTAATTGATATCGATATGTAAAAATTATTTATAACAAAAAATCTATAATGTAAAAACCAGTTTATATTGGCAGAATTGTGAATTAGAGACTAAGAGAAAGGAATAAGTCAGGATCCTAAATTCTTAACATTATAAAGAAATGACAATTCCTTCCCCTACTCTGTATTACTAGTTAAGTTATCATTATTATTATCTAAGATTATATTATTGCTGATTGTAACAAAATTATCTTTTTTCTTTCCTTCTCTCTTAATCCAAGCTTTGATTTTGTCTAATAAAGTATATTATAATAATTTCTAATGCTAATAAAAGCTGGCAAGTATAGCTCTTTTTCTTTTCAAGTTCAGAAAAAGATAAATAGATAGTATTGTATAAAGAATTAGAGAAATAATTAACTTATTTAGTATTTGGTTTTGAGCAGTTACTGTGAAAAAGCAAAGAAAATGTTTTTCTCTTTTTCTTTTCTCATTAAATATAATTGTAAATTTGATCCAAAGAGTTTCAATTTCACCAGAATATTCAAACCTATAATTTTGTATAGATGCTTATTCTAATTATAGAAATGCAGAATATTACAAATATAAATTTAAATTATGCATATCAGAATTTACAAGTATTTAGTTATTTTATTAATAATTAATCATTTTTATTATATTTAACATTTTTAATAATTTAATTTAAATAAATTAATTATTTATTATTTAATTATTTAATTATTTAATTTATTATATTCTTATTGAACAAATTTGAAATCACATGACTTTTATATTAACATGTATTTTGACATGTGATTTCTATATGTGACTTGTACATGTGATTTTATATGTGATTTATTATTTATTATAATTTATATAATTTGTATAATTTACATAATTTCTTAATTTCTTAATGCTTTAAAAATATTCCAAACATTTCTAATATTCCATAAATATTGTCTTTATTATATTTATTAAATTTAGCTAAAATACTCTATTTATTATCTATATTATTTGAAATGCTGCAGTGTAATCCTGCTTAAATTGTTAACTAATCTAAGATACAAGGTAAATTAATAACTA